CTGCCGCTTCAAGAAAACTATGCTGTATACAAATGACTTCAAGCTCTCCAGGCTTTGCTAGACTAAGCTGACTATAGCTACAAAAACTTGATGTGGAACTGGGAAAACTGACAATAGCATCGCTTTCTGCGTTTGTTTCCACTTTCTGTCAAGGTGCATGTTTTCATTAATAAAGTACGCTAGCGGCAACTGAGGTCCCGGTTAACCGGAAAGTACTCACAGCTGTCGAGTCGTACGATCTTATACACAGAACTGTACGTTGCACACGTCGCAGACACTCAAACCTTTTATTAAACTTCAACCTGACAGGTTAGCGGTGCCCGATCGCAGGGTCAATTAGCATGCAAATCGCTTAAATGCCACGGACAGCCTGTCGACGCTCACACTGGCGAGGCTGAAATGCGCCGAGGCACGTTCGTTAGCAGTCAGTACCTTGTGTCGAGTGAAAAGACGAACGTCGCGTCGGGCAGTGAGCGAACGAATAGCGTCAGATGAATGGCATTCATCCGAAAGCTCCGATGAATAATGCATTACGCAAAAGGACACGACAGGCAGACGGCCGTCCGGCGAATTGGCCACAACAAAACACTGAGCCAAGGTGCAAGCGAATTCTGAGTAACGGCTGGCAAACGGGAGACGGCGTACAGACTTATAACTGAGCCAAAAATGCTGTTTTTAAAACAAAACCACTTGCCGATTATTCAAGCTACCTTGCTTGATAAAATAATTGGTCGCGCGGCAAAGGAGGCAGCAATCGATCACAGCTCCGTGATATTTAAGCAAGAGCAGAGTAAGCATGCCTCAAAAATGATTCTGTTAATTCCGCTAAAAAAATATTGACGCTCAAGGAACTAGACGGTACAATGATGTAAGATACATCGTTTCACCGTAAGCACTAAATTACATCCATCGTGGCATGCTCGCATGGCCACATAAGTATCTAGAACGGCGTCGCAATGCCACCCTACCAACTCCGCGTTACAGGAGTTATTCGTCAATACATTACGTCACGTTAATACACACGAATACACTATAACAACCGTCTATATCCATCGTTCATTCAGGGGGCATGGCAACACAGTGCGTGAGAGTTCGGCTTCCCACTGGAACTCCGGAGGTACTGAGCTGGGGAACTTCAGAGGTACCGATTCTCGTGGTGGGCAGTCTGCGCCTTTACCACGAATTCGCGTGAACAAAGAATTTAGTACGCGATGCTTCAGCCTGGGGTTATTCGGTTGATAGAGCGTCGGACTCAGAACTGAAAGGAAGTGGGCTCAAGCGACGGTGGGGATCACTCATCTTCATTCTTCCGACACTGCTAAACGAGTGAGAAGCAGAGAGAAAAATACAGACCATGCCTGTCACAGCGCCGTTAATAAAAGCACTCATGGTCGATGACCTGGAAATAGAGATCAGCGTCTTCACCATTAACTTAAAGAACGCAGGTGTGTTATAACTGGTCCATTATGTACGCATAGGTAAGACCGACGTTCCAGTGATAACAAACTTCCCTACCCTTCTTTTTCAATTAATTTTCGTAGTTTATTACTACATGCGGTGTTTCGAGCAGTAGGTGCAGAAAGTCTCGCCAGCAGTTGAGGTGGCCCGCAAATCACGCCCGCC